CATAATCAGATCCTTGAAAGATCTTACACATTAATAAGATCTTTCAAAAATCTGATTATGCGAATTGATTTAAGATCGCAGGAACTACGATTTTTTGTATGATTTTCGTATGACCGTCCAGGATCATATAAGATCAGATCCAAGATCTTGTCTGATCTTACTATCTGATTGCTCGACCTGGGCAGGTCCTCATAGGCTATTATATGGAGCAATTTACAGATGACATATTAGGATAACAAATCTGAAGGATATAAGTGAGTTGTACATTTCAGCTCGCTTGGAACTGTGCTAACAAGCTTTTATTTTTACATTCGTGAATCTATGATTAAAGACTTAAGACGATCCAGATGGAAACGATTATATGACTACAGTTAAATGACACGAAGAAGCATAGATTGGCAGGTATGATTCTTTAGACAGAGATTGATAATTTCGTACATTATTCGTGTATGTTTCTATATGTTACTTCGTTATTATATAACCTATACTGTACATTTATGTGAACTATCAGCAATGCATAGTAGTATTTGAAGAAACCGCTGCTTTTTCTGGATACGAATCATATGAGATCATTCGAAAACGACTTCTCTTTCTAAAATTATTTCTAACTATATTTGTCTTTGCTCGAAACCGATCAAATGTCTCCGATTTCTCTTAGCATACATTTTTTTCAAACAGATGTTATTTTTAGCGAAAGTAATATGCCTAGAAAGTGTAGAATTCTTACTGCATTCCATTATTGTGCTTTGATTATTAAAGGTCAACAAGAGAGTTGTTGGTCTTGTTTCGAATGAAACAGGGTGGGTGGGTGTGCGTGTTGGTCTGTAGTAGTAGATGTGACTGTGACTATGACTGCAAATAAAAAGAAGATTGATGCTTACACCTACACCCACATCCAAATTTTATTTAAGCTCGATCATATAGGACAGAAATTGACATTAATCTTACGTCCGATTGCGTTCATTTTTCTCGATTGAATAATTCTTTGTTCGAATACAATTAAAAAAGTTTTATTAAATACGAAACACTTATTATCTGAAAGTGAAACCATTTAGAGCAATTTATAAAGAAATCGGATACGTTTTTCTCTTTTAGATATTGCCATTTCTAAATCCTCGTTCAACGTAATATTTTTGAATCTTGACAGCTAGTAAGCGATCTTGTTTCTAAGATAGAGTAGAATGCAATAGAAAATATGCCAATGAGAGATTAATAAAAAAATATGAGCCTAACCTATTCAGTATCTATTTTGTTGATTCACTATTTTTCGATGAATCATCGTTGCATTTAGCTGGTGGTTTATACTAACAAGTGCACATTACGTAACATCTCGAAAAGTTATTAATGATGGCAAACAACATGATCTTTATTTATCGTCTCTTGCCTGGCAATATTCTGCAAGTAACTCGACTTCGTCGAGCCTTGCAATCTGTAATGACAAGATATCAATCAGTACACACCGCAAGCAGTTTCGATGCAGAACAGAATCGTCTTATTCAAGGAGTCAATACTTGGACTGAGAACGACAGTCAGAATAATCATGTATTTGCATTGATTGAGAGCATATTCAAAAGTGATGAAGAACTCAATGCTATTATTAACAATGAACGTAACAATTCTGAACATTTCGATCTTTCTCAAAGTCTTGTCTTGCGATGTCATCTTGTTTACTATAAAGAAATTTCTCAAAATGATGAGCTTCGTGGATATGACACTTTAATTTTCAACTTCCAACAGGCTGTATTCGATATTGATGCTATAGAAATGTTTCTACGCAATCTTGCCGAAGCTTACACAACAAGTAAATCACCAATAGAAGACAGCAACTCAACTTTAAAAAACGATAATTCTAAATTCATTATGCTTTTCCAGAATAGTAACTGAACTACTCGTCTTGTTTATAATTTAGATTCTGTCACCGAAAGGCAAATGGCCATGAACACTGCCAGTATATTTTGGCTTCAGACTCTGAAAGAATATGATTTCAATCGACCACTACGGTTACCATTCGATCAACGCCGTATTAACGACAAACATCGAACAGGACTTCACACTAGCATCTTTTTCAATGTAGATGAAACACTTTCTCAAGTTTTCATCAACTATGCTATAATAAATAATATATTACCAATGCATCTGGCACTCGCATGCTATGTTGTGTTCTTGTTCAAATTGGCCAATGATGAAACTGACTTATGCATTGCAATGAACACATCCGGTCACTACAGAGACAGGTTATGGTCATTGACAGGAAAGTTTGTCAATCCGATTCCATTGCGATGTCAAATCGATCCTAATTCTTCATTTGATCAGCTTGTTGAACACATAAACATGATTGCAACGGAGAGCTTGAAATATTCTTATTTTCCCCTTGAACATATCTTAGCACAACATCAAACGACTAGTAACCCTGCCTTTCTCAATACTTACTTCAAATTTCGGTCGACACCAATCGAACATAATTTGAGTAAAGTTGCACTAGGCGATGCAACTATTTGTGCTATGAGCAATACGATAGAAATCAATGAATACGATGCCATCAACACTTTAGATTTTTCCCTTACTGTTTGTCATAATCCGACTATTGGACAACTATCATGCTCGATTCATGCTTCTCTCGATTTATGCGATGCCATCACAACCAATAAAATCGCACAGCGTTTTCATCTCATACTTGATCAAATATTTTTCAAACGGAATCAATTTCGACAGCCAATCAACGAGTTTTCATTTATGTTACCCGAAGAAGTATTACTAATCCAATCTTTAATTAATACTCATATCTCGGTTCCTCCTGCTCAATGTCTTCAATACGAGTTTGTTCAGCGAACCAGAGAGCATCCGCAAAAAGTAGCGGTTGAGCTGGACGAACAATGTATGGCGTATGGTGAACTATATTATCATACTCAACATCTCGCTCTATATTTGCTCAATACATATGCTGTTAAAACAGCCGAAATCATTTGTCAATGCGTCGAACGAAGTTTGTCAATGGTGAGCTTATTCAACCTGATTTGTCGTAGATTGTGGTTTATCTGTTTTTTTTCTAGGTTATTGGTATAATATCTATTCAGATGGCAGGTGCTGCTTATTGCGGATTATCACCTCAAAGCCCTCAACTACGTTTAAACACACTTGTCAAAGAAACCGGAAGCCGTTTCGTACTTGTTCATTCGATGACAGAAAACTTGTTCAGCGATGATGTTATTAAACTCAATATTGATGCAATAATCAATTCTAGAAATATTGCTCATGATGTCGATGTTGATCAACTGTCAAGAGTCATTGTGACACCCGATAATATCGCCTACGTTATTTTCACTAGTGGATCAACAGGCATACCGAAAGCAGTTAGTTCTAGATTCTGTTTCTGATAAAACGATTATAATTTTATTTTTTATAGGGGCAACTACGACACCGAAATCTAATTGAATGTATACGCAGTTTGGTTCATATTGGCATATTCAACGAGAACGATGTAAAGCTACAAATCGCTCATTGTTCGTTCGACGTGCATTTCCAAGATATCGTCGGAGCACTCGTTGTTGGCAGTAATTTGGTTATGCTTCATCCTAGGGGCAACATGGATTTAGATTATCTTGCTCGAGTACTGGAAGAAAAACAAATTAGTTACTTTTTAATGGTACCCTCTTTTATAAATAGTCTCTTTGATTTTCTTCAAGAGAATAACAACAAATCTGCTGTCAAATTGCTACGATCTGTTGGTAGTGCTGGTGAGCTGAATTCAATTTGATTATAATAATAAGCAATTGTTTGTTGTTCATTTTAGGTGAAGCTCTCACTGCTAAATTAGTGCATTTATTAAGAAGTTATGTTGAAGAAAGTTGTCTAATATGGAATTTATATGGGCCATCAGAAATAACAATGGGCTGCACTTATCACAAGGTAGATGAGACATCTGAAAAATCAAATATTTGTATTGGCCGACCTTTTCCCAACTATCAATGTCGCATTGTCAACGACATGCTTCAACCTGTGATTGTCAACCAGGAAGGTGAATTACTTGTAGGTGGCGTGGGTATATTTGCTGGTTATCTCGGTCGTGACGATTTGACAGCAAAGGCACTCATTGAGATCGATGATGAACTATTTTATCGAACAGGTGATCTTGTACGATTAGACAGCAAGGGCTTCCTGCATTATGTTGGGCGCAAAGATTTCCAAATAAAACTTCGCGCACAACGTATCGAACTCGGCGAAATTGAACAATGTCTGCTGCAGTCATCATCAAAAGTCACTAATTGTGTTGTTACTAAATATGATGATGAACATTTGGTCGCATACGTGCAAAGTTCTGATAACAACGAAGAACCATTGCGAACATACTGTCGTTTTCATCTTCCACAGTATATGGTTCCATCAAAGTTTATCATACTCCAACAATTCCCATTGAATGCCAACGGAAAGGTGGATAGAAAGCGTCTGCCAATACCAAACATTTCATCTTCACGATCTTCAACAGCAATCGACTTTAAAATACCACGAAATGAAATAGAAAAACGTGTCCATTCTTTATGGTGCGAAGTGTTACAATATGTAGGTGAGCAGATTTCAATCGAAGAAAGTTTCTTTAACATTGGTGGTCATTCGCTACTTCTTATACAACTCTATCATCGTTATAAATCGGAATTCGACTTTAGTTCTCAAGCAATTTCTATTGCACCATTTCTTCAGTATGCAACCATTGCTGAACACGCTAAATTACTTGAGACAGTGAAAACCAAAATGCAATCAACATCATTACAAACAATGCAAATCAATCAAGGTAACAGCTGTTGTACGAAAAATTTTGTAAGACTATCATTTAACAAAACAGAGAAAAGGATATGATTCAAATTACTATCATTATTGAATTAGATACTACAGATATGGCTACTTTTCTAGTGCCAATTGTTGAAATGGAATTTGTAGAGAAAATTTCTGGGTCGATTTCATACTACATTGCATTAAAAAATACTACGACGAAGTAGGGTATAAATTTATGTAGTAATTCGCTGTGTAACAGCCGTTTAGGGTCATTCGAGACGCCATCTTTGACGACTCGAATGATCGACCTGGGTAGCGATCAACAATACACTATTCCCAAAGGACTTGGAGCTTTCCATCGGATGACTCTCGAGATGTTCATGTCAAAAGTTGCAATGCTCGTGGGCAATCGAAAGTATGACCTCAAGATTATAACTTTAATTATTTGCTAGCATATAAGTTAATGTGTCGTTATAATAGAAGATCGTAAATAGGTGTCTCAATGGCACTAAATAGTAAATATATACTGACGATGTACTAGTAAAGAAATAAAGATTTTATTTACTTTAATTTAAACACATGAGATGAAGATGAATAAATTGTGCTCGATATGTATTTACGTTAGCATGTTTTCAGATAAATAAAATATTCGCTAATTTACTGATAAATAATTGAGTAGATTCTCATCAATGCACCAGTATATAGTACCTACGCATAGTTCCCATTTACTAGTAAGTGGCTAACTGTTTTGTTTACTGTACCATATTTGCTTGATCATCAAGTAGAGTAAATGTGCCATTCATAGTATAAAAGGTATTCACAGCTGAATATCAATAGTTTTTCGAGAACTAGCACGAGAGAGAATATATGAAATAGCGTCTGTTAGTAAGACTGGGTGGGGGGGGGGGAGGAGGGGGCAAATCCACCAGTAAATAAAAAACCTTACACTTGAAGTGGTTTAAGCCGAGACATAAGATCACAAAGAAAATTGGTTTGATTTGATCGTTCTTGTGAACATCCACAACACATTACGAGCGATTTGTAAACCATCTGTTTGATGGTGAATGTAAAGTCGGCATAGAGAATCGAGTGCAAGGCTCAACATCAGAATTAGATTTTGATCAGATAGAGCTGTCACTTGACAATCTGAGGAGCTGTGTTAAATTTTAATTTTAATCAATTTCCTGACGAAATATCAATCTATTCTCGATTTAGTTTCCAATGAAAATGACACTGTTGATTAAGAAACGTAATGAGTCTATCTCGAAGTCGAAATAAAAATTTGTTAGACCTAGATAAAAACTAGTAATGGATCGTTAGGAACATTTTTAGCAGGAGTATTAAGAGATCTAGAATTCCGAAAACTGCAGACGTCTCCAAGATATGAGAAAGATGCTTAGAGCTTTCGTAGATAACATTAATGATCTTGAATGATTGAATCATTGTTGTAGATTAGTGAGCTAAAGAAGGAAAGTAATCGTCCTGTGCTCGTAGAAAAAATGAAAATTTCGCAGGATTTCGAGTTACTTTTATCGAGTTACCTGCTCAGTGTACTCGAAAGTATGAATATATAATCATATCACTATATTTACTAGTGTAGCTTATTGAAGAATATGTATTTTCAAGCAAGCACTCAGGAATTTTGTGAGGAAGGGCTAAAAAATTCTGTAATAAAAGAACAACTTCTCTACGGAAAAGTATTTGCTCGTTAGAACCTGCCTTTAGCACGTCTTTATTTCCATACCGTTAAAGAAATAAATCAAATTGTATAAATCTACCGTTAAATCATTAGAATATAAATTTTCTTAGGTGTTTTTTCCGATTACTTTTTTTTTTATAATATGTGCCTGAACTAGATCAAACTGTACAACTATACACCATGAATTTCTATTTCAACCTATAACATAAAAAAAAATATCACCATTTCGACATATTTGGATGATATTGATTTCATCTTTATAATCATTTTAGTACAAAATTCTCAAATGCATAGAGGGCTTGTATTTTCCTTATCATAGACTAATCAATATTCAAAGTCGATCTAATATTCGTAATAAATAAGTTCCTCTAGGTGACGGAAGAATTTAATTTTCACAGAAGAATTGCATTTTGAATAGTTTTATTAATTATTCAATTCTAATATATAGATAATGTGTTTTAACTAGATTAACAAAAATCGACTGCTTGTCGAAGAAAAAGATCGCAGATCGATCGATATGAGAAGCATTATTTCGGAATTCAAATCAAGTTGAATAAGATGAAAATTTTGATAATGAGTGTGAAGAGAAGAGACACATCGATCCAATCCTCCACCGTATCACTCTAAACTAATTGTATGCTTGGAATAGGCGGATGAATGTCTTCACTTCACTAGCAATCACGCTCAAGATAGCTTTCTAATTGTTTATCAGTGAAGTTGTGCAACAGAATTCACTTTTTTAATGTTGGGTAGATAATATTGAATAGATTACATAAGCACAGTGATATGGTTATTATTCAATATATGAAGAGACATCCTGGTTTCTGAAATTATGTAGTAACATGTAGTGACCTTTAGTGCCAGTAGTTTTCTTCTAGTCTAGTTGAAAAACTTTCCAAACAATGAAACGTATTTTCTGAACACTAACACTGAACCACCAATCAATGGGTTATTCTTTCTGAATCCTAGATATTCTAATATGGGAAAGTAAACATGAAAGCGCTACGCTTAGTTTTCACTACAAGTTTTTCTTTTCTCTTTTGCTGCAATTGTAAACAAAAAGAAGACTTCGATGCCACATTTTTCAGCATTTATTTATAGTTCATGTCTTCTTTAATTTAATTATAATCTCATTAAAAAATAGATCTACTGGTTCATCCAATGAGTATTGTTCAAGAAGAAATATTTGTGAGTTACAAGAGATCACCTACCAATCCAAAGTACCATTTGGCACTCAAATATAATCTCTCCCAACAACAATCGCTTATGTTTGACATTGGCAGATTTCGTAGAGTGGTTCGAACTTTAACATTGTCTCACGATCTGTTGCGATCTACTTTTCATATGGTTGGAAGTGAACTAGTTTATCATGAACATATTGATGATCTCGAGAGCAAAATTGACTCTTCGATTGTCTGGAAGACGGTCTCTGGTGTTGCCATGCAATCAGAAAATATTCTTGATATTATACGAAAACCATTCGATTTGGAACGTGAGCTGCCATTTCGAATCCATATTATCAAACACATTGGTTCAAATTGTCTCATGATTATTTTTATCGTACATCACATTGCTGCCGACGGTTATAGTTTGACAAAGCTCATACATGTACAACTGTGGGAATTGTACGATCATGATGATATTCCTGATTATTCGCTTGTCGCAAACAAAAATTTTGCTCAATATGTACACGAGAGATATACCATATCTAAAGAGAAAACCGAGCAGTGGACAAATGACGTACGCTGGTGGCAAGAACATTACAGCTCAACCATTCGTACCACAATCAAGCTGCCACCACCCGAAATACCACTTTATGGTTCTACCAATGCTTTGGCTATTGCGACTAACAGAGATAAACACAATGATAGCAGTCTCCAGTGTAAGACACTCAACATCCCGGCCGATTTGTGGCAAGCAATAGAAGCTTTATGTATTTCAAATGAATGCACGCCATTCACTTTGTGTCTCAGCATTTTCTGGGAACTTCTAGCACAATATACAGAAGATGACAGATTTAGTATTCACATCACTTTCGCTGCACGTCCCAAAACTTTTCAAAATACAGTGGGACCTTTTGCTCATGCATTTCCGATTATTCTGAACACGAACCAATCAACAACGGATGCCGATCAGGAAACATTCAACAAGTTCTTAATGAGAACACGTCGTTTGATATTAGAAGCAAAACAACACGAGATGATCACACTGTCGGAAATTTATCTTCAGACAAAGCAACTTCAATCAATAGCTGCACAGGTATCAGTAGCAATGAGTGCTATCAGTACACCGAAAGCTGTGGAACAAGTGGATTCATCCGAATGCATTTTTTACACCGTATCAAGCTTGACTCTCTACATGTTTGCTAAACAGCACGCTCTAAAATGGTGTTTTAATACGACTGTCATTGATTCCAATCTAATTGATCGATTGCAAGCCAATTATTTGACAACCCTACAGTACATAATTCGTGATAGTGATCGTCCCCCTCACATGTATAAAGACTTATCGACAACAGAATTTGATCAAGTCATCAATCGATTCCAACGAACAACGACACAGAAATACTATGAATTGACTTTACATGGTATTTTCGAGCGCGCTGTAAAATTGTGGCCTAACCGCGTCGCTATTGAGCATCAGTATACTTCAATTACATATTTCAAATTGAACGAACGTGCAACTAAGCTTGCCGTTTATTTACAGCGTCAAGGTGTTAAACCGAATGATCTGGTTTGTATACTTATGGAAAAATCGATTGCATTAGTCATCTGCATTTTAGCCATACTAAAAAGTGGTGCTGGCTATGTTCCTGTCGATGTTAATCTTCCGATCAACCGAATTCAATATATATTGAAATACAGCGGCAGTCATCTGGTGTTTGTCAGTGCAGCTGCAACAAGTGTCTGGCATAATACATTGTCTACGAAACAAGTCCGGTTAGAAGCTATCTTTTTGTCAAATAATGATGAGGACGACTTGTGGATAAATGAAAACATCAATTTCTATCAGCCAATGTACAACAGCAAGAACATGGCTTATGCTTTATGGACAAGTGGCACCTGTGATTCTCCGAAATGGGTGGAAGTAAATCATAGTGGCAGTGTTAACGCTATTTTATGTTTACAAGATGAGAGTCCTTTGCAACCCGAAGACAAGATGTTACAGGTGGCATCACTTAGCTTTGATCATAGTGTTGCACAATTATTTCGCCCATTAAGCCAGGGTGCTTGTGTCGTTCTTATCAATATTAATTTTACTGTTGATGACGTTCGCAATATTATTGACATTGTTCAACGGCATCAAGTCAGTGTACTCGAATTGAGTGCCAGCTTGTTCAATAGGATCAATCCTAGCGAGGTCGTACCACCATTACGTATTGCATATATCAGCGACGAAATTTGTCCGTTATACGTGGCTGAACTGTGGTCTAGTCACGTGCCTACATATAATTTGTACGGATCAACAGAAACATCAATTTATACTCACATAGCCCGTCTTTTACCGAATCAGACGCGCGTTATGATCGGCCGTCCTCTGCCTAACACTTTGTGCTATATAATTGACGATCGAATGATACCAGTTTTTATTGGAACTGTTGGTAGATTGTGGATCGGTGGATGTGCGCCAGCTCGTGGCTATCGAAAGCGTGATGATCTAAATAAAATAAAATTTCTCGAAAATATTTTTCATCGTCACGATGGTAATATTATCTTTGATACGGGTGATTTAGCACGCTGGCAGAGTGATGGACAGGTCGAGTATTTGGGCCGCCATGATACTCAGTTTAAATGTCATGGTAATCGTATAGAACTCAGTGAGATTGAGCAGTGTATACTCGGAATGAGAAAGTCGCATAATACGCAATCTCAACCTGAAGAAGTGGCAGTCATAGTTCAAAATAATAACGAAAATATGAAAGACAATAAGCAAATCTACTTGTGTGCTTATGTGACGCCTAAATCAGTTGATCTGGTTAAACTTAAACACCACGTCAATATTTCATTACCATCGTACATGTATCCAACTTATTTCGTTACTCTCGATCGATTGCCTCTAACAATGAACGGAAAAATTAATCGTAATGACTTGTTTAAACTTAAACTAGATGAGTTTCGAAAATCTAACAGTAAACCTGAGAAGTATTCACAGGCTGTTCAACGAAAGGTCCACGAGATATGGTGCTTCTTGTTGCAGCTCGATTTTGTGGATCCTGAAGAATCGTTCTTTGATATTGGTGGTAATGCATTACTATTTTTGAAGCTTATTGAGTCTATTCAAAAACGGTTTTTTGCCGACCGATCATCGGGACTTCAACCACCTATTGACCAATGGCTCGACACTACAACCATTCGTTCCCAAGTTGTTCTAATTGAAAATAGCCTTAAAAAGAATTTGAATATACAAAAAGATCGTCTAATATGTATCAGTAAGCGTCGATTACGGGCGCATGTCAAAGCTTTACGAACTGCTCATTCAACGGCCTCTGCAATAATGAAATTAACAAGGCGAAGGTCGTCAATCCTATATGGCTTGGCTCCGAAGAGTGGCCCATGGAATTTCCCACAGGTTAGTATATGTCAAGTCATTCCACCATCATTTTTCACGCTATATTCCGTATTCATGTTGGAAAAAATTCGAAAACCATTTGTCCAAATATCTTTTTCTAGAGATCTAGCAGGCATTATATAAGTATTAAACCGAGAAGATCTTCGATTGTATTATATTCCTAGTGCTTTCCCATGATCCATTATATACATTTTTTATTTATCCAAAGAATGGGTGGAAATAGATTCTCATTGTCTTATGTTTTTTCATATTCGGAAAATAACAAACGAGACATCAATTTTAACGCAAAGAAGAAAATTTTCCTTCAGACGTGACTCCTTGATCAACGATAAATTGCGATATTTCTCTGAAGTAACTACAAGTCTCTTTTTGAAATGAGAATTTTTGATAGCACAGTAGTAAAGCATATTTTCTCACGATCTGAAAATGGTTAACGTTCAACATACCAATTAGAGAAAAATCTTAATCGAAAAATCAAATTTTTAACTAATAATAATTAACACACTATACATGCATGCCTAGCAATCCTTGAAAACTTTTTGATATTAGCAAAGCTGATGGAAATGAACAATTTTTTGCAATGAACTGTTTCGACTTTTACTTTCTCTTCACTTTCAAATAATTGAAATACTTAAGCTTATATCTAACAAAGAGTATAGCAAAGTCTTCGATCGCTTATGCTAACGAAAAGTTTTTTCCCTTATGTTAGAGTCACTCTCTAATAAACAAAGTTGTACATTTCGTCCATTGTTTTTTACTATGCCGTTTATTTGGAAATCAAGATCAAGCTTCTAGAAAAAGCGAATTTGAACTGTAATTTACTTGAAAATCATCTGTGCAGATTGTTTTAGAAGTCTTGTTTCTCATGTAAATCATTCGATACTAACGTCAACTAAGTGTGCAATTTTGCGCCTTGAAATTCCAGGTGACAATTTCTTAGTTGATTTCGACATGAAATATTCGGTCAGAGACCTACCAAAAATCCTAGTTAAACAGCCATTACTTGGTAAGGAGTGTGCATGGCATAGTATCCTTGTAGATTTACACTAATCTCATCAAGTTCAATCGTAATAGAATAATTGAAGATGTCATGTTCCTGGCTTGCTATCTTTATCTTAACATGAAATGATAAGTGAAAAATACAAAGAGACACAGACTATTGACAAGTTATTTGATAATTGTTCCAACAACCCATTAGAAATCTTTATTCATAAGAAAAACCATTATTTACAAAAGGAAAAAAAAGATGAAAACTCAGAATTGGTTCATTAAACGAAGACATGTTTTCAGCTGTCTCTCGTGTACACAATGATTAGTTATGATATTTTTTATTTTTCTATACATTCATTACGAAGCAAAGTAAATTGCAAAAGAGATCAAGAAATTTTGCTCAAACTTTGGGATTGTATAAACTCTCTCATTACAGAGGTAGAGCTTTGAAACATGCTTTTTATTGATAATTGTTTAGTAGCTGATTGTATGAACTACCCGACCATCATGAAAAAAGTTCATAGAATAGAAAATAGTAGGTCTTGGTAAGGATTGTTAGGACTACAGAGATTTGTTTTACTCCCACTCTGATATTTCACGAAATGAAAATAATTTATTCAATACTAATCTAAACAATCTATAAAAAATAAACCACTATTGATCTCAAATTAAACAAATGAATTAGTTCACTCATTATCAAAAGATTTCATCTAATCTATTTTTTTGAATTAGGGATTTGATACAAACGACTGTGCGATTATCGGTATGGCTGGCGTATTTCCTGGTTGCAATAATATCGATGAATTTTGGTCAATGCTTAAGGAAGGTCGCTCAGGCATAGTAACATTATCTGATGACGAGCTATGTGGTTATGTTCACGAGGAACTGCTAACAAATCCGTTTTATGTACGCCGCACGGGTCGATTAACATGTGGTATTGATCTCTTCGATCATGCATTTTTTGGTGTATCGCCTCGTGAAGCTTCACTCACGGACCCTCAACATCGCTTACTGCTCGAAGTTGTCTATCGAGCTTGCGAAGATGCTGCCGTCAATTTACAATCGCCGAATGAGACAATAGGCTGTTTTATTGCTGCAAATGATAGTAGTTACTATTCGTTCAATCTGAAACATTTGCATGACTCAAGTTATAAACAACCTACCTTACAACGACAAATGCGCCTGAATAATATGATGGGTACCATGGCTACTAAGCTCGCGTATTATCTTGATTTCACGGGTGCTGCTATTAATGTACAAACGGCTTGCTCTTCGGGTCTTGTTGCACTACAGGTGGCTATTGACCATTTGCGATTAGAACGTTGCACGGTAGCTATTGTTGGTACAAGCTGTATCCATTTGCCGACAAGTGGTTATCTATATGAGCCAGGTAGTATCTATAGTCCGATCGGTCAATGTGCTCCGTTTGATGCATCGGCCAATGGAATCGTTCTTGGCGATTCAGTTTGTGCTGTCGTACTCAAGCTAGCAAGTAGAGCTGTTGCACATCGTCATCACATTCGTGCACTGATCAAAAGCTGTACTCTCAACAACAATGGAAGTGTAACTGGAGCGGCAAGCTTTGTTGCACCAAATGCAATCGCTCAAGCTGAATGCATTGGCAAAGCGTTGAAAGAAGCCAATGTCGATGCTACTGATATAGTGTACGTTGAAGGGCATGGTACGGGCACAGCAGTAGGTGATGAAATTGAAGTCGAGGGGCTCACATTGGCCTTTGACACTTTTCAACGACAATACTGTGTCTTAGGCAGCGTCAAATCCAATGTCGGACATACAGACATAGCTTCTGGTCTTGTCGGTTTGATTAAGACTGCGCTGGTCTTAGAACATCGTTATATACCTGCCACACTGAACTATCGATCTCCCAATCCAAATATTGATTTTTCTTCAACGCCTTTTGTTGTTCAATCGACTGGTGTTTCATTGAAAACTGCCCGTTTCGAACATGGACCACTTTTCGCAGGTGTCTCCAGTCTAGGCATGGGAGGAACAAATGCGCATGCCATATTGCAAGAATACCATCCAAAGTTGTCATCCAATAATTCATACGATTCATGCGAAAAAGCAGTACATCAAATTACTTTATCCAGCAAAAATCCCGAGTCGTTACAAGCATATCTACGAGAACTCATCGATTGGTTAAAAAACCAAAATAACAGTAAAGAACCAGCTAAATTGGCGAATATCTGTTATACATTGAATAATGGACGTTCTGTCTACGATTTTCGTTTGGCTGCAACATTAGATTCATCATCTCTTTCAGTCCTCATTGACAATTTAAATCAGCTATCAACTGATGGACTTCAACCATCGCAACAGATAGATCGATGCGTCTTCATATTTCCAGGACAACATAAGTGTTCACGATCATTAATACGACAACTGTATTTAACGAGTGATGTATTCAAAAAAGCATATGATGTTTGTGCAACGATTTTAGAAAATTATGATTCAAACAGTCCGAAAATGATCGATATATTAATGGCTGATGATGATGATAAGTCGATGAATCAAGAATGGCAAACTTGGATGGGTCTGATGACATTCATTGTCGAATTAGGATTAATCACCCTTTGGTCTAGCATAATACGTTCACCGCTTGTTTTCCTTGGTCACAGTATTGGTGAGTATGTTGTTGCCACAATGACATGTGTATTTACACTCGAAGAAGCACTAAAACTTGTCTTCGTTCGATCATGTCTTATGAATCAACAGTATAATCTTAAAAGATCAGGTGCTTTGCTGGCAGTACGAATCAGCTACGACGACGCCGTTAAATATGTGGTCCATGATCGACTGTCTATCGCTGCTGTAAATGGGTCCATGCAATGTGTATTCGCCGGAGATATTAAAGCAATCAATGAATTGAAATCAACTTTACACAAGTTAAAATATAAATTCAAACAACTGGAACATACGTTTCCGTTTCACAGTCATATGATTACTCCGTTGCTACTCGATACATTTCGACAAGCTTACAAAGATCTCAATATTCAAGCACGTGCGCCGAAGATTCCTTTTATCAGTACAGTTACAGGCAATTGGTTGGATGAAAATTATGTTCCTGATATTGAATATTGGTGTCGTCATATGCGACAGACAGTACTCTGGCATCAGGCAATAAAAATGCTTGATCAACAGAACTCTTCGTCACCTAGAGAACGTAGTAATAAAACCCTCTATATTGAATGTTCTCTTAATAACATATTGACTAATGTGACCAAAGCCAGTGTTAAAGCAGAATCATCATTAGTTCTTCCATCAGCATCAACAGATACTACTAATGTTGAACTCTCAATAAAAAAAGCGCTGAGTACTTCCTGGTGTCATGGTCTTGAAGACATTGATTTTCAATCGGTTTACGATTCTTTCAGCGGATCATCAAGTGTTTATAATAATGCATCATTTATTTCCATGCCCGGTCAAGTCCTTAACAGGCAACGTCATTGGATCGATACATCATCACTGCATCAACTCAAAGAGAACTTCATAAAACAACCATCGATATTAACTGTTGATCCGAATGAAATCAAACGGTATGAACCTGTTCAACCTATGATAAGCTCGTCTTCTGTGATAGCACAACTCATTGATATCTTTACTTCAGTGACCGGTGATGTTTTGACAAATAAGCATAGTGACTTTTTCGCATCAGGTGGTGACAGTCACACAGCCATAATTCTAATTAGTCGCATCAACCATTTGTTCAATGTCCAACTGGCGAACAAGGATTTAACAGAAATGCCAGTTCTTGAGCAGCTCGCAGTGCGCATCGAACAAATCAAACATCAAAAAATTCTGCAGACGGCATCAGAAGTTAAAATGACTCAATTGTCTTCTCTACTTCATCTATCATACTACGATGATCGAGTTATCGTAATGAAAAAAGGCACTTGTTCATCGCAAGCACCAATCTTTGTTATCGCTCCAACTGGCGGTGCTTGCTTCATCTATAGAGATTTATGCAAGTATCTAAATACATCAATTACTGTTCTAGCTTTAAAATATCCTGATATATCGCCGTCATTATTCTCTGAACATTCTGAGGATTCAGTCGCTAACTTAGCATCCTACTATATCGAAGTTTTGCGTAGCATACAACCTGAAGCAAC